TTTTTTTTTTTTTTTTTAAACTTTAAGAGAAGGACATTTAATCATGGAATATACTTCGACATCTCCCATATTAAATCTCTTCTACTGTGTACAAGGCAAGGATTTTTTAAAGTGATATCTGAGATCTAAGTAAGGGTACTAGGGTACCCACAAGCTTGCCTAATTCCATCCCAACCATGCAGCTAGTCCAAGAAGGATAACTGCCCACAAAAATCCCTGTCTCATGTATTTCCTGAACCAGCACAGCTACAACCATTCAACACTTCTAATCTGGATGTGACTTTCCATTTCCTTTCCAAAGCCTTCCCTATTGCAAAAATTATTTTAAAATGTCAATACATAAAACCCACCAGCTGCTCCAAAAAAGGAAAGCAACAGTCCATCACCACAAAACAAAGGATGACCTTGAACCTCCAGACGGAGAACCTAGAGACCACATGGACTTCAGTCCCATTTGACAGGTATTTACTCAATAAAACCGCTTAAAAAACAAAACGCACAAAAATGAATGCACACCCTAGAACCAGGTTTACAGATTTTGTTATTCAAGCTTCACTTATTTAACGTTTTACAGCCAAAAGAGCAAGACAAACAAACAAGGCTTGCTGTGCAGTGCGAATGGGGGTGGGGGGATAATACCCAGCTGGAACCACCCACCCACAGCAATTTCTGGATGCAGAATTCCCTTTTGGCCTGCTCAGATTAGGAGCTGGCTGCAGCAGGGGCAGTAGGCTGTCCTGTTGTGATAGGGTGCCCAGCACAAGAGGCCTGTTTGTGTGTGGCTCTTGGGCGTGACTGAACTCAGCAGGACAGTGATGATGAACAGTAATAGATCCTAGGAGGGTTTTAAGACCCTGCTAGACAAAGCCTTCATCAGGATGATCTACTTGGGGATAGTCCTGCTTGGAGCAGGGGGTTGGACTACATGACCTCGAGGTCCCTTTCAACCCTCATTTATGATTCTATGAAACAAACAAAAACCCTAGCTACTTTTCTTCCTCCCAGGCCTCAGGTTAACAGGGGTTTGAGGAAGGACTAAAGCAGGGGCAGGCAATTATTTTGGGCAGAGGGCCATTTACTGAGTTTTGGCAAGCCATGGAGGGCCGTATGACAGGCAGCCCAGGGTAGATTAATATTAATTTTCTAAATTGTTTAGGGGCCCCACAGGCCAGATAGAATGGCTTGGCGGGCCACATCTGGCCCGTGGGCCACCTTTTGCCCACCCCTGGGCTAAAGGGACACAACTAGGGACATGAGGAGGATGCTCCCCCGATGGAGCTGGCTTTTGGAGGGAGGGAGCTCCATCTCTCCGCCAACCTTTGCTTCTCCACATCAGCTGGGGGCCAGGCTGAGGCACTCCAGGACTCTGTGCATCAAGGAGCTTGGGGTGGGGGTGCTTCCTGTGCAGACACAATGGAAGCTGCCGGGACCCAGGCAGGGCTCACAGCCATGCCAAAGCAGAGGGAGGGCAGGATCCCCCTCAGGCCCAGGGCATGGCAGGCCCACAATTCATCCACACCCACATGGGCTCTGGCACATGGCCCCCCTTGGAGAGAGAATGAATGGGAGGAAGAGGAAGGGAGGGAAAAGGGAAGCAGCAGCTTGCCTTGGCCTAAAAAAGGAGGGAAACAAGGGGTGGGGGACAGAACAGCATTGGTCTGTGCCCTCGAGGGGCAGCCATGGGGCTCCAAGTCTCGCTGGGGGGTGAAGAGGCCCAGGGTGGTGGGGGACAAACAAAACAAAAAAGAAACACAGGGTGAAGCACTGCCCCACCCCGCCCCAGCTCAGTCCCCCTCGCACACACATTAAAGACAATCAGGCCCTCACAGGGAAGGTTGGGGAAGATGGGGTCACAGAGCTGGCACCTTACCCACCTCAGAAGTGGTGGGGCAGGGACTGCATGGGAAGCCAGGGCTGCTACTGCCCCCAGGCAAGCTCTGCAACACCCCTCCCCCCTCAACAACATACAATGGGGAGGGAGGAACGCTACCTTGCTACCCCCAGCTGCAGCCCCCCCCCACCATCTTGCATAGGGGACAGTGGCTGCTACTTTGCATTCCCCACCCCCACCATGCACAGGGGATGAGGTTGAAGGGGGTGCTACCTTGCATTCCTCCAGCTGCAACCCTCCCCCGCGCAATCTCTGCAACACCCCACTATCACCATGCAGGAGGAACGGGGTTGAAGAGGGCAGGCTACACGGCCCCTGCCCCCCCCAAAAGGGAAGAGGGAGAGCGGGATTGGGGCACCACCCCGGCGGCGCGGGGCACTCACCTGCACAGGAGCTGCTCGTACTCGGCGCGGATCTTGCCCAGCTCGATCTGCAGCTTGGCGCGCTCGTGCGCGGTGTCGTCCAGCGCCCGGCGGGCGTCGGCCAGCTCGGCCTCGTACAGCACCTTGAGGCCGGTGAGCTCGCGGCCGCGCACCTCCTCGCGCTCCGTCACTTGCAGCTGCAGCGCGCTGTTCTCCGTTTCCAGGCTGCGCACCTTGTCGATGTAGACGGCCAGGCGGTCGTTCAGCTGCCGCAGCTCCTCCTTCTCTTGCAGCCGCGAGATGCGCGTGGGGCTCAGCGGCGTGCTCACCGCGCTGCTAGCCCGGCTCCGCGGCCCGGCCGGCGTGGAGGCCGCCATGGCCCGCGATCGCGGATGGTGCGCGGGGCAAAGGCAGATGCACGAGAATCAAAGGCTAAAAGGCGGGGTGGTTAAAAAAAAGGCGCGCGGGGCTGGGGGGGGGAGGCGGTGATGCAGGCGCAGCTGGTGCAAGAGGGGAGCAAGGGTCAGGGGGAGAGCTGGG